AACGGGTGGGTTGTGAAGGCGTTCTGTCCTTGGCAAACGGAATTCCGGATTATTTTCTCGAGCCAGAGAGCGGAAATTCCCACGCGTGCTGGCAGGCGCCTGGGTCCGGTCTTAGCCTCCGGGGAAGCCGTCTGGCGCGTGCCGCTTCCCAGCGCCTCCTGCCCAGGACACGGAGCTCTCTCTCTCTCGCTCCCTCCTTCCCTCTCCCCCCGGATTTGGACGCGTGCAAAGGGATTCCTCCACCCGGCGGCGCCTCCCGCTCGGGGGATCCGCTTTGTTGTACAGTATATAGAGCAAAAAGGCTGCTATCCCAGGCACAGAAACTCCCGGGGCACACGTACGTTTACAGGATATCTATTTTTTATTTTTTATTTTTTTTGCGGGGTGGGGTGGGGAGTCAACACAAAGTAAAATACTGAAAGTTAAATGCAGGCTGGTTTCTCGACTCCCAAAAGTTGAGAAGAGCAGAAGACTAGTGGCTCTTATGTATCAGGTTTTCCACCAGCTATGTACTTGCTTTTTTTTTTTTTAAATGAAACCTGGGAATTTGGGGGTTAGGGTTCATCTGTGTATAAAGATTTGTGGATAAGAAAGCCGTCTATAAATGATCCAAATAAGTCATTACAGAATAAAAATGGATGGGAGTAGCTAGGATTTTCTTCGCCTTTCCTATTTCGTTGGCGGAGCATGATGCAACGCTTAGCATGTTAGGTGAGTCCTGAGTTCCAATCATGAAGATCACAAACATCAGGTTCTCTGCCTAACCCACCCCTCGGGATAAAACTGCCCCAAGCCTCCATCAGCGCGGCGGGCGCTTTACGGATCCCCTGCCCCGAGAAGCTTCCAGTTTGAGAAGCTTCCAGTTTGAAACGAGACGACACCTATGGGGGTAAACGGGTGCGGGGGTGGGCAGCATAGGAGTTACAGTTCATTTCGGGTGGGCTAAGGACGGAGGGGTTACTCTGATGGCTTCAAGGTGGGCTTTGAAAGAGAGACCCCCGTCCCAGATAGGTTAATACTCACAGGAAAGCGGAGTGGGTTGCTCTCAGCAGCCTCGACGTCCGCGGCTCCACTGCAAGATCACCTCAGAGGTCTGCAGAGAAAGCTTTGCTCCCTCGATGCCACGCTTGGTCTTGGTGTGCCTGTCCTCTTCTCTCCCCCTCCCTACACCAAAATCTACAGAGAAGGGTGTTTTTGGACTCTATAAGGACATAGGAGAGCTTGCTGGATCAGGCCCATCTAGTCCGGCATCCTGTTCAGATGCCCCAATGGGAAATCCGCAAACAGGATTCGAGCACAAGAGCGCTCTCCCCCTCTTGTGGCTTCCCGCAACTGGGACTCAGAAACATTACTGCCTCTGGCCATCAAAGCACAGCAGAGCTGTGGTGGTTTGCAGCCATCGTTAGCTCTCTCCTCCGTGAATTTCTCCAGTCCTCTTTTAAAGCCATCCGAGTTGGTGGCCCTCACTGCCTCTTGTGGGAGGGAGTTCCATAATTTAACTCTGGGCTGCGTAAAGAAGTCCCTTCATTTATCTGCCCTACAGCACTCATCTTCATTGGATGTCCCCGAGATCTAGCGTTATGATGGAGACATTTTTTTTGTTTATTCACTCTCTCTGTGCCATGCGCCCCTTTATAAATTTCTCAGACTCCCTTCAGCACCGCCAGCCGTCAGGGCTGATGGGAGCGGCAGACGTCGAGCAAAATCTGGAGGGTCGTCCTCCCCATCCCTGACCTAGGCTATCCTTTCTCCTCCAATTTCCTCCTCTTTCTGCCAAGGCATTCATGACCCCTTCTTGAAAGTGCCTTTGGCTGAGGCTAGAGGGGGAGAAAGCCAGCCGCCTGCCACCCTCCAAAGACTCAGATCCTCGACGGGGAGGGAAAAGAGAGCCCCCTCCCCTCTTTTGCAGTTAAAAACGCATAGCCCTCCCGCTCCCAGTTAAACAAAGAACCGAACCTTCCCCCCACCCACCCCCAATGCACATCAATAAACCAATTAAAGGGATAGGGGTGTTCGGAGCGGGGGGACCTGTATGTGGGAGGTGGGGTGATGGGACATTGTTGGAGTTAAGCCCCCATGCATCGCCCCCCCACACACTCGGCTTGGGAAGCAGCTAGGGGTCTCAGGGGCAGATAATCGCCCACGCACCCCCAAGCCCTATGGATTTGTAGGAAAACAAAAGGGGGGGCATATCCTAATTCTTTACGTGGGGGGCGGGGAGTCTAGGTAGCGTCGGGAATAAATAAGAGACCTGGAGTCAAGCGGATAATGTGGGTGGGGCTGAGACAGAGGGGGTCCGATTTACGTTCTCCCCCCCCCCCCACCCCATGGATCAAGGACGCTTCGAGAGTTTTAAAAGCTTAATCCCATGAGGGATTAAGCCCCACCTCCTCCTGTAGGTGAAAAGGGGTAGTGGTTTTGGTGGGGGCGCCGTTGCAGCGGTTGCCAGTTCAGCACTCTGGAGAGCAGCCAGAGGCGAGACAGGCGCGTGTCTGGAGCGGAAGAGGCAGCCCAGGAACGCCCAAACACCGCTTAGGCGGAGAGCAAGCGAGAATGAAAGCTTCTGGATTTCCAAATTTAAACAGATGTCCCGAGACCCGTTGGCTTGGAGCGGGGGCGGAATGCCAGGCATGAAGAGCACCCCACCCCAAGCCGACTGATACCAACGTAAATCTCCTTTGTCAGATGGTTCCCTGCTGGCCATAACCACATAAAGCCATATCCTCACAGGGCGGGGGGTAGTGGTCCCATGTCCTCGAGAAGAGGACCTATTGTACTCAGCCTGACTTCTGAGTAAAGATGAACAGGATTAAGCTACACTTTCAAGCGGCACCAATGGAGCAAGTTCGCTGTGACTAACATAACTCTGGTGGGGTTACTTTTGAGATTGCACAACCACAACCCTATGTACACTTGCCTGAGAGTAGGGCCCATTGTACTCAGTGAGGCTTACTATCAAGTAAAGATGCACAGGATCGGGCACACTTCCCAATGACACCAGTGAAACAGGTTCTTTGTGACTAACGTAACTCCTGTTGCTTTCAGTGGGCTGCAGTTGTGGCTAGCTTTTGTTGAAAGGTAATTCCTTTTTAATAAAATAAAATAAAATAAAATAAAATAAAATAAAATAAAATAAAATAAAATAAAATAAAATAAAATAAAATAATGGAATATACATTGCAGCGACCAAGAAAAGCACAAAACCAAATTATATCTGGTGAAAGGTGGAGGAAAACAAACAAACAAATAATTAAGAAATGGTGGGGCTCCGGATACAGTCAAGTGGCAATGCTTATTATAAGGGCATAAGAAAAGCCTGCTGGTATTCAGAAACATCACTGCAAAGGCAAAGCACAGCCATTGTGGCTGAAGATCTGATTTAATTAGGACGTTTTCTTATATTTAGTCTCAGGTGGGGCCCATGTGAGTCCTCAGCTAGAGAAGGCTCAGGTGAGGGTCAGATGCCTCATCAATCCCAGAGTATATAACAGGAAGACCGTCTTGACCAGGCCATAAATAAATTTATGGGTTCTTTATTTTTTAAATTAAAACAGGTTTTTTTGCACAGAAATGCATTCACACAAAAGAGAAGTATTAAAAACAAAAGGTTTCCTTTGCAGGTACTAGGTCACTGTTCCATCTAGGCCAGTGTTGTGTTTTAATTGTTTTAATCTGCCCTGGGACTTTAGGGTGAAGGGCTGATTATTAATTAGGTGAATGGTATGATTCTATAATTCTTAGCTTGTTGTTCTTTGGTCAAGCAGACTGAGTACACACTCAAACTAAAACACACATCGCTAAGCAATGGTAAGCAGCAGTAGAAGCACATACAGAATAGTTTTCTTTGTTAATAATAACAAAGAAACTCTGTAAAAATAGAGGAAAACGTTATTTTAACCTATGTGATCTTCAGATGCTTCTCCACAGCCTGTTTAACAAATTTTGTGGTTCTATATATTGTGCAATTGGTGCTGGAGGAGACTCTTGAGAGTCCCATGGACTCCAAGAAGAACAAACCTATCATTTCTTAAGGAAATCAGCCCTGAGTGCTCACTGGAAGGACAGATCATGAAGCTGAGGCTCCAGTACTTTGGCCACCTCATGAGAAGAGAAGACTTCCTGGAAAAGACCCTGATTTTGGGAAAGATGGAGGTCACAAGGAGAAGGGGACAACAGAGGACGAGACGGTGTTCTCGAAGCTACCAACATGAGTTTGACCAAACTGTGGGAGGCAGTGGAAGACAGGAGGGCCTGGCGTGCTCTGGTCCATGGGGTCACGAAGAGTCGGACACGACTAAACGACTAAACACCACCACCAACAGCAATGTTGTGAAATAATAATCAGTACTTGCAACAGAGTTTTTCTTTTCAGGGAGTCATTGCTAAAGCCTAGTGCGTGGGTGGGATGGGGCCTCCAGAAAATAATAATAGTTGTTGCTACTGTTATTGTGATTATCATTATTATTATTAGATCCATAGCTAATAATATCAATATCTACATTGCCTGGCAGTGACTTTCCAGGAATTCAGGTCTGAATCGCTCTCAGCTGTACCTGGAGGTGTTGGCAGTGCAAAGCAAATGCAAACACTTTGATAGTTAATAATAATAATAATAATAATAATAATAATAATAATAATAATAATAATAATAATATCGAGGAGGTGGCAGTAAGAAATGCCCCTGACTGGCCACGATAAAACTTTCCAAGGTGCCCCGTGAGAGGTCTGGACTGAGCACAGTTGCTCAGCTGCAGAGGTGCTTCCCCGAGTAACTCTCCCAAAGGGCCGGGAGGCATCAGGCGGGATTTTGAGTGCAAAAGGGAGCGGCAGATTAAGCGGCTTCCCCGGAGCAGATGGGCTGGGACTCAGCGCGGGGCTGGGGCGTCCCCCGGCGACGCGGTGGCCCAAGGCGGAGCGACGGGGCGGGGACGCGAAGGGGCAGGCCGGCTGCAATAAAAGCGGCTCTGGCGGGAGGGGAGTGCTGAATCCGCCTCCTCCTCGCTCCGCACTCGCTCGCTGAGCACGCTCTCTCTGTCTCTGGGCGTCCGCTCCGACAGCCACCTCGCTCCATGCCGCCGCTCAGCTCCGACGCGCCGTCGAGGACTTACGGCCCCAAGATGGGCTCCCCGAAGAAAACTGGGGAGGCCACCCAGCTGAGAAAGGTGAGGGCCGCAAAGGCAGTCCCCGCTCCCCAGCCTCCTTCCCCGGGGAGGGATCCCCTTCTCCTCCTCCTCTTCCTTCTCCTTTTGCTCCCGTCCCGTCGGACTGACTGGCTTCTCCTCCCGCAGAGCCTCAAGCCGCTGATGGAGAAGCGCCGCCGGGCGCGCATCAACGACAGCCTCAACCAGCTCAAGACCCTCATCCTGCCTCTCATCGGGAAAGACGTAAGTGGCGCTCAGTCCTGGCTCTCCCTGCAGCACAGGAAGAACACACACACACAGCGCCTCTGAGCCTCTGCAGAGCGCTTTTTGTAGCCCGCCCTTCCAGTCGCGTCCCCGTTGGCAACCCCTGCCAGTACTAGAAAGCTTCTATAGTAAGAACTTTGCAGGATCGGGCCAAAGAGGGCAGGGGTTGCCAACGGGTGCCCTCTAGAACAGGGTTTCCCGAAGGTCTCCTGCTTTTTTTGGACTACAACTCCCATCAACCCTAGCTAGCAGGTCAAGGATGATGAGAACTGTAGTCCAAAAACAGCTGCAGACCCAATTTTGGGAAACGTTGCCTAGATGCTGTAGGACTTAGGCTGCCATCCTTCATGACCCAGTGGGCATGCCAGGGATCCTAAGGGAGGGAGCTGAAAATAAAACTGCCAATATCCTCAAGGAAATCAGTGGTGCAACTGCTTTTCTGCAATGCTGTGCCCCGTTCAGATCACCCCTCCTCAGAAAAAAAGGTATTGTGGAGTTGGAGAAGGTTTGGAAAAGGGCAACCAAAATGATCAGCGGGATAGAACAATTCCCTTATTTGGGAAGATTGCAGGTTTTGGGACTTCATTGTTTAGGCAACAGGCAACAGAATAGAAGTTTATAGGCTTTGTTTTCAAATTTGTTGTAGTGTTTAGACTTCTGTATGTTTTAAATCAGTTGTAAATTTCTCTTGATTTTGTTTTAACTTTTTGTAAACTGTTTCGAGGGGTTTTGGTTTGTTTTACAATAAGCAAGGTAGAAATTGTATTACATAGATATAAAATTATGGATGGCATAGAGTAAGTGGGTAGAGATAATATTGATCTTCCTCTCTTGTAACTCTCAAACTCCTGGACATTCAATGAAGCTGAATGCTGGAAGATTCAGGACAGATGAAATCAAGTCCTTCTTCCACACAGCACATAGTTAAACTATGGAACTCAGTCCCACTAGAGGCAATGAGGGCCGCAGACTTTAACAAAGGATTAGACAGATTCATGGAGGAGGAGGAATACTATCCATAGCTAATAGCCTGAAATGCTAGTTTCACTGTTGGGAGTCAGTAATGCTTCTGAATACAGTGGTACTTCGGGTTACATACGCTTCAGGTTACATACGCTTCAGATTACATACTCCACTAACCCAGAAATAGTACTTTAGGTTAAGAACTTTGCTTCAGGGTGAGAACAGAAATCGTGCTTTGGTGGCACGGCGGCAGCAGGAGGCCCCATTAGCTAAAGTGGTGCTTCAGGTTAAGAACAGTTTCAGGTTAAGAACGGAACGAATTAAGTACTTAACCCGAGGTACTACTGTACCAGTTGCTGGTAGTGGAAACTGCAGGAGGGAAAAGAGCTCAAATCCTGCTATGGGTTTCCTAGAGGCATCAGGTTGGCCCGTGTGAGAATAGGATGCTGGACTAGAGGGGGCTCAGGCCTGATCCAGCAAGCTCTTATCATGTTCTAGGCCATTGCCCACCCGAGTTCAACATCTAGAGCACTCCATATTCCACACTGGTGGGCTAGCCAGAGCTCTCACCTGGATTCAAGGCATATTCCCTCAATAAGTGGAGACCACATTTATTTCCCTGAGTCTTTTTTCCATGGATTTGCCCTATCATGTGGCTATCCTTGTGTTTAGTTGGGGGGCTGGAAACCTACACCCCCCAGATGTTATTGGACTCCCATCAGCTCTAGCCAGCTCAGCCAGTAGTCGGGGATGAAATGAGTTTGACATCGAGCATACTTAGGGGTGGAGCACAGGTTCACATTCTGGTATTGAAGGTTTGCACAGAAAAGTTCTTCTGTCTGAACCGGCAATCTTTTCATTCTCTCTGTGGCTCCATCCCACCTAACGTCTCCCTGCCATTAGCCTCCATTAGATGGGTGCCCACTCTTTCCTATTCACACCCAAAATCCTCTTCCTTTTCTCATCTCTTCACTACTTGGTATCTCTGGGTCCCTTTGCAACATCCTCTATGCCTTTTCTTGCTTTTGAGAATCCTAAAACAATCCTCTCTCTCCCTTTCCTTTCCAGAGCTCTCGCTATTCCAAACTGGAGAAGGCCGACATCTTAGAGATGACTGTCCAGTTCCTCAAGGAGCTTCCAACCCCTTGCGCTTCCGTCTCTGGTGAGTGACATTCACACATGATGCGCGAAATGGCATCACTTGATTTCTTACAACTGAATTATCCAACACGGGGGAGCTGACCGATGAATGTGAGAATAGATCCCAGGTTTTTTGTTTAAGTGTTAGAAGAGGCAAGAGATCTAGGGGCCCAGTGCAAGAAACTGGTGCTTAGCATGCCTGGGCCAGTCCGTCGCAACACCCCTGTGTGTAAACACTTGAGCAAGGACTGAGCTTGTCTGAACCAGTAAAGGGTGATTGGCAGAGAAGAGGGGCTGAGTGGATCTTCCACACCATACAATTAAAACACTGTGATGCCAATTTGAACAGTCGTGGCTTCCCCTAAAGACTCCTGAGAGCTGCAGTTTCTTAAAGGCACTGAGAGTAACAATACCCAGAGTTCCCTTTGAAGAGGGATTAAATGTTAGACCACTCAAAGAGTGACGGCTATGCGAGGAGGAATAGCAACTCTTAGCACCCTGAACAAACTACAGCTCTCAGAATTCTTTGGGGGAAGCCATACCTGTTTAAAGCGGTGTTATGTACTGAGTTGAATAGGATCCAGAATGCAGCAGTCTGATTGGTCCTAGAACAATAGGATCCAAAATGCAGCAGTCTGTTTGGTCCTAGAACAATAGGATTCAGAATGCAGCAGTCTGATTGGTCCTAGAACAATGCAGCAGTATGATTAGTCCGCAGGAGCCACCCAATCCAGCTCCAGGTGGAAGTGAATCCACAACCTGATTGGCCTACAGGAGAATCCTGGAATTAGCCAATCACATGCAGCCCGTTGTGTAAATAATGTATATAAAGCAGATATTTTGGGGAAACTTTCATTCCTCCTGACCACTATGAGCTGAATAAAGAGCATGAAATCCACTCTTGACTCTGAGTATATTTCAAGCGGTATGATAGTTCTTTAGATGTATGATGCAAATGTGCCCCAGGAGCACAGGAGAGAACTCAGCCGAAGAGGGGTTGCTGTCATCAGCGGGAAGGATCTCTGCCACAGAGAGCCTCTTGTCAATCAGCGCTGACAGCACTGACCTAGATTGACCCAGGATCTGACTCAGTTACAACCTGCTCATCAGACCTCATGAGGCTACTTTATAGGGAAGTCAGACCATTTGGTCTCTGCTCTCTCCCCTAGCCAGAATTTAGGAGACATGGGCAAAATCTTTGAGAAGAATTCCTACCTGGCTGAGACCTTAACTCTATATTGAGAATACAGCACATAGGGCTTTGTGGGTGGAATTCAAAGATCCTGGAGTCTCTGCTCCCAATGAACTTAGTCTAAAACTGACGGTGGGGGAAATAAGAGGGGGGAAATGAGCCCATGGGATAAATGATGGTGTTGCATGATGGGATAGATGAGGTCCATGCTTCATTTGGCAAAGTGTCCTCAGTACTGTCAAATTTCCCTATTTACACCCAAACAAATTACAGGGAGAAATTTTCTGAGCAAAGCAATAACACGGTTATACCAGTTAAATCATCACAGTTCCCTCCCGAAATAATCCTGGGAAGTGTAGTATGGAAGGAAGCATGGAAGGCAGGGTATTCTCTGTTCATAAAATCATAGAATCAAAGAAATGTAGAGTTGAAAGGGTCCCCTGAGGGACATCCAGTCCAACCCCCTGTTGCTGACCTCTGAGTGGGTGCTGTAAGTTCAACAAAGAATAATGTTTGTTGTATTACCTTCTGTGGCTGGCACTGGTACCCAGCTCACAGACACAGAATTGTAGAGTTGGAAGGGACCCTGAGGGCCATTTATAGTCCAACCCCTTGCAAGGCAGGAATCGCAACTAAGGAATCCCTGACAGATGGCATGACAGATTTCTCTCTTTCCCCACCACAGGCTCCGCAGACAGTTTCTGTGACGGCTACCACACCTGCCTGTCCCGCCTTGCCACCCTCCTTCCTAAATACAACTTCCTGAACCGTGAGGCCTGCAGCACCCTCCTTGGGCATCTCCAGCAGGCCTTTGCGCAGCAGGGCTGGCTTCGGGACTGTTCCAGCCCAGCAGACTTGTCCAAAGAGCCAGGCTTGGAGAGGCCCCCGGGCCCACCTAGAAGGGCCCAGGAAGCCCCTTCACCACAAACAGGACTCTGGAGACCTTGGTAGAGCCACAGAACTTCTCGACTTAAAACTGAGCCATTTTCAGACAGGAAGTGGCTGGAGCAGAGCCCTGTGCTGTGAAAGGATTGCCGATGTGTCAAGCAGAGATATCCGCCTGCAGAAAAGGCTGCTTGCTGTGTCTCAGAATGATGTGCTGCTCTAGCCTTCCAGCCAGCCTCAGCTGGGCATAAATAAGGTTTACCTGGTAATTTGGGTGTGATTGGATCGTCCCAAGTCGCTCCTGACCCAGTTGAATGACCTGCCCTCAGATGAAGCTGCCTGCTGTGCCTCTGCATGGCAGTTCCCTGTGTTCTGTTTAGGGAAGGATCACTCAGTGATAGAGCATCTGCTCTGCATGCAGAAGGTTCTAGATTCAATCTCCAGAGAAGGTTGGGAATGCTCCCCCTCCAGAAACCCTGGAGAGAGCTGCTGCCAGTCATTATAGATGATCCTGAGCTAGGTCCAACTGTGGTTGGATCACAGCAGTTGGAACACTTGTCATATGTTCCTTTAGACAATATAGGACCACCTCCTTCCAATCGGGAGGAGTACCCATGACATGGACTCATGCAGAGACATGTGAGAGGGACTCCTCTGAGGGCAGGTGATTTCTTACTCTGAACGTGTGTGCATGCAACAGAGTAATGTGTCTTCCTTTTCATTCAGAGTCAGGTATCAGTTGCCTGGAGAAAACTGTTAACTCTTTCTGAGGAGCATCAAGGGTCTGGGGAGACTTCCTGCTCTCTCTCTCTCTTTCCAGACATCTCCTTTCTCCCTCCCATAGCCACAATAGGGGGGGGATGGAAGGCCAGTAAACCCCGCGGGTTGTTAAATTGTCTTTTTCTTTCCCCTGGTCTGTGACTTGCACAAATCCGGCATGGCTTGAGCCAAGGACCGGACAGCACTTTAAACCTGTATATAATAATGGATTTGATACACAATTTAAAATAAAGAAAAAAATCATGTTTGGTTTTGTTTGTTTGTTAAATGCATGTATTGTTCTATCATGAGAATGTAAGAAGAACCTGCTGGATCAGGCCGGTGGCCCATATAGTCCAGCATCCTGTTTTCAAAGTGGCCAACAAGGTGCCTGTGGAGAAACTAGCAAGCAAGACCTGAGCACCAGAGCTCTCTCTCTCCCCTCCTACTGTTTCCAGCAACTGGTATTCAGAAGCATTGCTGCCTCTGACCCTGGAGGCAGAGCATAGCCATTGTTGGCAAGTAGCCATTGATACCATCCATGAATTTTCCCAATCCACTTTCTCCATGCTGCACGTAATTTGACAAATGTCTTTCATGTCATCTTCTCTCTAGACTAAAAACTCCCCAAAGCTGTAAGCTTTCCTCATATCAGTTTGTCAAACATAGATTTATCATTATGGGATACATTCATGGATTGCATTTATATCCCACTTTTTTCTCCAAAGAGCTCTAGATGCCATTCATGGTTTCCCCCCTAACAACAACCCTGGGGGGTAGGTTAGCCCAGGATCACCCAGTGAACTTCCTGGCTGAGTGGGGATTTGAACCCAGGTCCTAGTCCAACACTAACCTGTTGTTGTTGTTGTTTAGTCGTTTAGTCGTGTCCGACTCTTCGTGACACTCTAACCTAGTGGATCTCGAACTTTTTCCCCTGGGACACACTTTCAGAATAAAAATTTGCTCAAGCCACACCAAAAATTTTATTGATGAGAAATATATTGTGGGGGGCAACTCCTAGCAGTGCTCGATTTATAACACAGAAAACAACTACTTTATAATATGATCGTGGGACATCCAGAAAGTATAAAACAACGCAGCTACATAAAAACATTAATCATTCCCAAAATATAATTATAAACAAACCTCTTATATACAGTATGTACTTTAGGTAATAATGTACGTATACCAACTCAATGAGGTGTGAACTTGTTTCTGCCAGGCAATCTCATTTATATTGGGTCTAATTTGAGACAAACTCATCTCATCAACGTAAAGAAGCCTTTCCCTTTTCTGATCTTCCATATTTGTCAGAGTTGAAAATCCCTATTCACAACAATATATCGTGGAGAACTGGAGAATAATAGCCATTGTTCTGCCTCTTGTTTTGAGAGTACATCTAGCCCTATTTTGCAAATAAAAAACTATGCTACGCTACACTGACATGGTTAGGTGTTTCTTTGATTGTCCTTGAATCTTCCTGCCACACTCGCCATTCTCTCCTGACACACCAGTGTGGCACACCACACCTTGTGAGAACCACTGCTCTAACCACTACACCACACTGGCTCTATCTACAACAGGGATAAACTTTGAACAGGGATGAACTTTCAAACCACTGGTTGGGCAGGTTGCTTAAAAACCTCCCCCTGTAGGTTTTCCCCAGAAAGACCAGTCCCTCCTAGTACATTAGATACACTCCAAGATAGCGAAGAACTAGTAGTAGAGGGGATTAGAGAGAACGTGCCCTCCCTGCTTTGTGATCCATGTCAATTTCTGAGCTTGGCAGCCACCCCCCTCAACCCAGAACTTTGCTCTGGTTGCCCAAACATGTCCCAGCCATGGCGCCAGTTATTGCTCGGGTTCCTCTGCTCCTGGGGCTTTGCCCGGTCTTGTCCCCAACCTGCAAGCCTGCAGTGCTGTGAAGTGTGTTGCCAGCCACATATCTACAGTATGTGAGGGTATGACAGAGGAGACTTGCAAGGGGCTCATTCCCTAGCACCCAATTTCCCAAGCAAGAGACCTGCAATGGCTTCCTCACTGAGAGTGTCCCTTCGCCCTTATTACAGTCCACCACCTCCTGGGAGAAGCGGTTACAGCTCTGTGCCATTTCATTAGAGACATTAAAACAACACAGATTCTTGGAACATAATAACAGGCTGCTATATCAGGCCAATGGTCCATCTACTCCAGTATCCTTTTATCCTTGTGGCCATCCAGGTGTCCTGCTGGGAAACCAGCAAGCAGGACTCAAGCACAAGAGCATCCTGCTCACCTGCAGTTCCCTGGTAACTGGTATTCAGAAGCATTTAAATAGCAACTTGATGAAAAAGTGGCAGGCCAAAGGACTGGAGGAAAGCTGTCGTCGTTTTAGAGGAAGAAATGAACTGAAATAATGGGCTGTGGCTGTGTGCGGCAGTGCAAGGACAGGGAGCTGGACTAGATGAGCCTTTTGGGTCTCTTCCAGCGCTACAGTTCTAGGAAAAGCTCTGCATGTAGAAGGCCTCAGGCTCAATCCTCAGCAGAATCTCCAGGTAGGGCTTGGGAATATTTCGAAACCCTGGAGACCTGCTGCACACAGACCCTGAGACATCTTGGTAGATTCCATCTCAAGAGTGCACAAATTCCTTATCCTGCTGGCACCTTGAAAGTGCTGGATCAGCAGGCATGAGACGCGGAAGCAGCTGCCTGATGACTGACAAGTCTCCTGGGAGCTCCTGCTAGATACTCCCTCTCACCAAGACGGCTGTGCCCTGGTGATTGGCCAGAAACAACCACCACCAAAACTCCAGCAGAGGCAGAGAAATGCCAGTCAATTTCCAAGTTGTGAAACCCAAGAACAATGACCCAGCAAGGTAGGACCAATTCATGATGGACAGATCTATTGGATGCTGTTAGTATTATTAATTTACCTGCCCTTCCTCCTAAGGTCCCCGGGTGGGTCACAGCATTAAGACACAATATTAAAAACAGTTTCAAACAACCTGCAACCACAGAAATCAGGCGGGTCCTAAAAATATACATCTCCAGTGTCAAAGGCAAGGGTGAAGAGTTGTGTCTTCAACATTTGCTGGAAACTGTGGTGTGTAGTGCCAGGCAGCTCTGCCACCCCCAGGTACAGTATAATTACTACCAGCCCCAGTTTGCACTGCTGTGATGGCTGGGGCTGATGAGAGTCGTACTCCAAAATGTCTGGAGGGTGCCAGGCTCAGGAACACCATTCAAATGTATCTCCACTGCATGAGGGCTAGAAACTTGATTGTTAAGAAATGGAGAAATTAACACAGAGACCAACGGCATGTAGGGAAGGAACTGAGTCAGACAAATTTCAGAATACATGGTATACCTTCATTACAGATGTCACCAAAGAAGCTTCTTCCAGCCATCCTTGGTCAGCTGTGGCTAAGTATTTTGGGCTGATACCTACAAAGAAAATGCATATTAGTTAAAGAATTCCATATACAACTTTAAACCTGATAGTATTCTACATAATAATATTCTCTTTCCATTCTTATGTTGACAGTTATCCTGTGTGTGTGTGTGTGTGTGTGTGTGTGTGTGTGTGTGTATTTTTATAACCAACACTCACTCACTCTCTCTCTCTCTCTCTCTCTCTCTCTCAAATCTGGTATAGCAAAGGTGAGAAACCTATAGCTCACCAAATCTTGTTAGGTTCCAGCTACCATTATTGCTAACCACTCAGCTTGCTGATTGGGGCTGATGGATGCTGAAGACTGACATCCTCTACAGGACCACTTTGGGATTTCCAGTCAAAATGTAAGATTGCCAGACAGGCATATGAGGGGCTGACACTCATGGAGTTTCTGAATCACTGTAGAAGGAACTGTATGAGGTCACTTATTTAATGCTTTGGTAGGAACTACTAACAAAGAAGATAATCTTATGTACTTCCTTCCTGAACTCCCTCTCTTCTTTCAAGCCAGTGATGTGAGCAGATGTATGGCACATGCCTGGGTTCTGCTTAGGGCCCAGAATCCATGTTGGAAACCAGTTTTATATTTTGTAACTAAGAAGTATCTTTTACCTTCATACTACTTTGATGTATTTGCTGCCTGCATTGAAATGTAATTAAACCTTTTGTTTATCTTACTAAAATGTGCAGCTCATTCTTAACAACGGGGACAAAGAGGTCAGCAGACCACAAATAAACAGGGATAAACAGTGTAATTGCCTGACTCCTCGCTTCCAGCAAGCTGCAAAAGCACATGGGTATTTTTACACTGCTAAAGGGGCTTCACGGCCTGGTTACTCTTATATTTCTCACACACACACAGGATAGGAGTTTAAATTTTAATTTACAGATTTAATCCTTAATTCATCTCCATCAACCACAAATTCTTTACTCCTGCACCAGATTCTGCAAATTCAGGTTAATGATTTTTTTAAAAAAATAATTTTTATTAATTTTCCAAACATATAATAAAAACAAACAATTAAACAAAACATACAAAACATACAAACATATAAACATGTATACTTTCGTAATCTTATCTTCCTAGACCTTGCTTCCCGGACTTCCCCATACCTCCCCTTTTCTGCATCCTTGTTTTTACCTTTCTTCAGCAACCCTCCAACTGATTAATTAATTCACTTTCATTCTAATTTCCTTAACTTATTGTTTACAGCTGCAATTCTCTATTTATTAACACCTTAACATCTCATTACACTTCAATTTTACAACAATTTTTAAGGTAAAATTTAAATTTCTTCCAGTCTTCTTCCACTGTCTCTTTCCCCTGGTCACGGATTCTGCCGGTCATCTCTGCCAGTCCCATGTAGTCGATCACCTTCGCTTGCCATTCTTCCAGAGTGGGTAGCTCTTGTGTCTTCCAATACTTTGCCAGAAGAATTCTTGCTGCTGTAGTAGCATACATAAAAAACGTCCTATCCTTCTTTGTCACCAATTGGCCAACCATGCCCAGGAGAAAAGCCTCAGGTTTTTTAGGGAAGGTCCATTTAAGAACCTTCTTAATCTCATTATAGATCATTTCCCAAAAGGCTTTAATCTTCGGGCAGGTCCACCAAAGGTGGTAAAAGGTACCTTCAGTCTCATTACATTTCCAGCATTTGTTATTGGGCAAATGGTAAATTTTTGCAAGCTTGACTGGGGTCATATACCACCTGTAAATCATTTTCATAATGTTTTCTCTTAAAGCATTGCATGCCGTAAACTTAAGACCAGTATTCCATAACTGTTCCCAGTCAGCAA